CCATAATCAGGATTATCAGTTATTTATTGTTTTTTTAAGTATGTAAGTTAAGTTGTTACCATACAACTGCTTCAAACACATTTTTTTGTGGGGATCAAGGAACCTTGAGTTTTATCGCAGTAAATCAGAATAAGGATGTGGCTGATGATATGAAAGATCAGACAGTTTGTTTCAGGAGACTCTTTGAACTGCCCCTCGGTTTCATAATGCTGCTCATATTGTGGCAGTTGGTTCTGAGTGAACATGCTGCTTCATGATGCCTGAGGAATTTGTTATTTTATCTGTGCAGATAGGGATATCATGTACAGTGAAACAAAGCTTATTGTGCCCCGACTTTGTACATAGTTTGTTGCTAGAAGTTTTTTTGACTCGGATGTGATTACAAATTGTGCAAAACAAGGTATTAATTAGCACCAGGAACGTTTTACTGATGTTGCATAGTCAAGTTAGTGTTGAAACAGGGGCAGATTTAAAAAAATAGACGATTAAACTGGATAATTAAAATTGATTTTCTTTAATTAATGAGCCTATTTGGACATTAGCCATTGGCCATTAGATAGAATAGCTTTGCAGAAGTTGTTGTTGTCACAGAAAATATCATTGGGTTAGTTGTTAAATCAAAGTGAAACCTTTGATTGGGGATTTCCATTTCTGGCTAGATGCCTCCACATAGTAGACCTGGAACTACAACTTAATTTTAACCATTTACTGTGGGGTGTTCTGCCTGGTTGGATACTTTTACATATTGCAAATTTTACTCCCCAGCAGCCCCTCCCATGTAGGGGATTAATGTCAGGTGTATTAGCTTGTTATTAGGAGCTAAGCCCACTTTAATTCTAAAACCAGCAGGGAAAAACACTCACAATAGGATTCAGTCTTATTCTCTTAGGGTGCCTTTAGCTACTTAGCTGAGAAATACCTCAGAGCTGCAAATCATGGAGCCTGTGCAGTGTTGTAACACCTATAGCTTTCACAGCAGTGCTGCCAATTGTTAATGTAGAAAGCTGAAAGCAAGGAAGGAGGGCAGATGCAGAAAGGCTTATTGTGTGTAGTTACCAGTGTCACCATAAACAACGAGAGCTTTGTGAAAGCAGGAACAGGCCATGTCCTCCACACGGACTGAGGGGATGATTGTACACAAACTCCATCTGCTCATTGTTTTCATCTGTCATATGTCTCTGTCTTTTTCTCTTCCAACAGCCGAAGAAGAAGGTGACTCTTTACCTTCTGTACTGTGTTTCAACAGCAGTCATCGGCTCGCTACAGTTTGGTTACAACACCGGGGTCATCAATGCACCAGAGCAGGTGTGTGTGTGTGTGTGTGTGGCTGAATTCTTGTAATGGACATTTTGTATTTTAAATTTTTTATGATCATTCAAACCATTAAGGGAGTGGGCATCATTCCTGGATTAATGATAGATGCAATACCACATCTTCTCTCATTTTCTGATATTAATATTGTAATAACACTTTATTAATAACAATTTTTGAATAATTATAACACTTTTATATTATTGTTCTGTATCTGTGGATTTGTAAGTAAGCTTAAATTATGGTGCTAGATATGCTTTTAATGTGTCTCATTTGAGAGCACAGCATTGGATTAAGTGATGCTACAAGCTATGCTGCCCCCATGTGGATGTGTCAAAAACTTTCAAATAGACATCAGGCACAAGCTCTATCACATCTGTTAGACCATAAACGATTTTTAAATAAGCCATAAATCACATAAGAAAAACACCTTCTTAAATCTCTCCCTTTTCTGTGGTTTGACAGAAACTGCGTAGGTTTTTCCTGAATGTGTCGATGGAGCGGTACGGGGAGCCTTTCAGTCAAGGGACCAACACCATGGTGTGGAGTATTGCTGTGGCCATCTTTAGTGTTGGAGGCATGGTCGGGTCTTTCTCTGTTGGAGCCATGGTCAACAAATTTGGCAGGTGAGAACATCAGACTTAAAAAACTGTGCCCTTAACCCCAACAGACTGTGGTTGTACTGGGAAGCTTCCAGGTGTGAAAAAGGGTGTTCCTTCAACAAAAAGGCTTCCTCTCAGTGAAATATCTCTGAATAAATAAAGGTAAAAAAAAAAAATATATATATATATGATAGACAGTAAATTAACTAAATGTTTTACAGAATTGTTAGTACACATTTATTAAATATGACTAATATGAGCAAAAAAAAAATTTTAAAAATGCTATTTTACTGAATTATTTCCTTCACAGCTGAAAGGATTAGTCAGTTTGTGAGACTGAAATTACTCATTTTAAGCATTTAACTAGCAAAAATGGCAAACATTTGCTAGTTTTCAGATATGAGGATTTGCTGCTTTTCTTTATCAAATCAACAGTTAGTTGGACAAAACAAGACGTATGATGACATCAGCTTTGAAATATACATTCTCACACACATTTCATATGCTAAACATTTAACCAGTTAACTCAGAAAATAATCTACTGATTGATAATTTAAAAAACGTGCTTGTTGCAGCCCTCGTTTCCTAAAGCTATGTCCTTCTTTCCTCCTCCTCTCTCATCACCAGGCGCAAGTCCATGATGCTAGCCAATATCCTGGCTGTAATTGGTGGCGGTTTAATGGGACTGTCGACTCTGACTAAATCTTTTGAGATAGTCATTGTTGGCCGGTTGATCATTGGCGTGTTCTGCGGTCTGTGCACGGGACTGACACCCATGTACGTAGGCGAGATCTCTCCCACTGCTCTCCGAGGAGCCTTTGGCACGCTGCACCAGCTGGGTGTAGTTATTGGCATCCTGGTGGCACAGGTACGATGCTGTGATATTATATCACTGTGATTTTATTATTGATGGTTTTTGTTGCTTTTTATTTTGTGACATTTTATCATGTGACCTATAGATCAAGTATATAAGGAAATAGCCTCAAAGATTACTCTCATAAAGCCAAGATAGCCCAAAATGTTTGTTAGGGTGAATGAAGCATGTTGTACCAGAAACAAACTGACATGAAATGAGTCCACTATAAGCACCTCTGTTGCCTGTGTATTTTAGATCTTTGGTCTGGAGTTTCTGCTTGGTTCAGACACTCTGTGGCCTCTTCTGCTGGCTCTGACCATCCTGCCTGCCATACTGCAGAGCATCATGCTGCCTTTCTGCCCTGAAAGCCCCCGATACCTGCTCATTGTTCTCAACCAGGAGGAGGAAGCAAGAAAAGGTTCGTTTTTAGACAGTTTACACTTTGCTAACATGATGGCAACATTAGGTTTTAATGAGACTAAATCTAGGATTACTCGTGAATTTTGAATGATCTGCAGATGAAGCAGGTCCTGTAGATGAGGTGACCTGTGATTTATTAAACATTTACCATTTAACATGTTCCAAGACCTCTCCAGCGTTCCTTATTCATTATATTTGCATGACGTACTTACTGTGTCTTTATTCAACCATCCCTTCTTCCCTCTGTAGCGTTGGTGCGTCTGCGCGGCTGTGAAGATGTGATCGATGATATTCAGGAGATGAGGGAAGAAGGGATGAAGATGGCCTTGGAAAAGAAAGTGACCATCCCCGAACTCTTCCGCTCCCCAAACTACCGTCAACCAATCATTATCGCTATCGTCCTCCAGCTCTCTCAGCAGCTGTCCGGCATCAACGCTGTGAGTAAACATCAAATCCAATAATGGAGTGTTAGAGATATTATTATCAAGTGTCAGTCTGAAGTGAGAGGGCAATCTTTAAATCTGTCATCTCAAACATGAATCTTTAAAGGAGCATGCACTGAAATTATACAAATGTTTCTGACAAGCACACAGCCACAGATGCTTCTTGGCTCCAGGCAATGTTAGATTGAGTGGAATAATTTGAGCCTCTGAGGGTCAATGGAAAGAGACAAACACCGTGGTATTTAATAGGTATTTTCTTAATGAGGTCATGTAACCAGGCTGACTAAATGCGTTAGTGTGCTGTGTCTGACCTGACAATCACACTAAAGCTGCTGTAGCCTGCGGCTAAAGGCTACAACATCGATTGAACTCTGACAGACACATTAACACTCATGACCTATATCACTCACCAGAACAGCAGCTAGTAGAGGTGTACATAATGCCACAGTTTCTGCTGTATAATTATTCCAAAATGTTAAACCTGCACTATCATCAGTATTTTTATATATATACTTTCTCCCTCCCTATATATATATATAGTACAGAGCATTATAGCACCTCTGGCCTGCAACTTAAAATGGAAAAAGTTTTGGTCCATCTTCACTTCTTTCATCAGCTTCTTTTTTTCAGCTAAAAAACTCTAAAAACCCACCACACACTATCTACCCAGCACAGACAGGTGTGATTGCTGGATGTATGAATTAGCAACTATTTTAATTCAGTTCCATTCAATGTTATTTTTTATATTGCCAATTCATAACAAAAGTTATCTCAGGACACTTTTCAAATAGAGCAGGTCTCGACCGTACTCCGTATAGTAACACGTTAAGGTGATGATGTGTCAATCATCACTTAATGCAGGTTTAATGTAATGTCGTTTTAAAGACATTAATAGACACTAATTTTATTGAATGGAATAAATAGTAACTCTTCTTTTTCCCCTTTCAGGTCTTTTACTATTCTACAGGAATATTTGACACAGCTGGTGTTACTCAACCCATCTACGCCACCATTGGGGCTGGAGTTGTCAACACTGTGTTTACTGTTGTCTCTGTAAGTGTCTGACTACACATGTGCTGTTTCAATATAAGGCATGTTTTATATTTATTAGATTACTAATCACTCTTTTTCTGTCTTGACTCCAGCTCTTCCTGGTTGAAAGAGCGGGGCGAAGGACATTGCACCTGATTGGACTGGCTGGAATGGCTATCTGTGCCCTCCTTATGACGATCTCCCTGTCTTTGGTGGTGAGTGACGTTTTTAGATACCTCATGTCCTGTGAGATTTTTGTGTATCCCCATTGCATACTCATTACATTTTCTCCTCATTCTCTTTGTTTCTCTCTCTGAGCAGAAGACCAACCAGTCTCTAAGCTACTTGGCCATAGTGGCTGTGTTCGGCTTTGTTGCCAGTTTTGAGATGGGTCCAGGTCCCATCCCCTGGTTTATTGTGGCAGAGCTCTTCTCTCAGGGCCCCCGGCCTGCTGCCATGGCAGTCTCTGGTTTCTCCAACTGGACCGCCAACTTCCTGGTGGGGCTGGGTTTCCCTAAACTGGCGGTATGAACACATTTACTTCACTAAAATCTTCAGATGAACACGCATTATGAGTTTCTCAAGCACTTATGAACATATTTTTCTTCTTCTCTCAGGAACTTTGCGGCCCTTACGTCTTCATCATCTTCATGGTCCTCCTCATCCTGTTCTTCATCTTCACCTTCCTGCGAGTGCCTGAGACCAGAGGAAGAACCTTTGATGATATCGCTCAGGGATTCGCTGCCAGTGCAGGGAAATCCCCCCAATCCCCGGCGCCTGAGGCGGTGGTCGTTGGCCTGCCAGAGAGCAAAGAAGCTGCACCCGTGTCCCCCACGGAAAAGGTTCCCATGGTGGATCTCCCACAAAAGCAATGAGCATCATTAGTGAGAAGAAGGAATAGGGTACAGCACAGACAACAGGTTTCATGCACATATAGATATTGTAAGGAGTTATATTTTATAACTCACAAATGATTAAGGACCAGTGGAGTGTGTTTAGAAAAAGCCAACTCAGTGTATTAATGCAGAAACAAGATTTTAGTTTTTTAATTTATGTTTTTAGTGTGCCTTTTTTAAAAGAAATACAGTGTTGTTGTTTTTTAAAGAATTTAGTTTTAAATGCTAAAATAGTTGAAAGATTTCCATGTAATCCTACTTTAAACATGGGCCAAACTTAACTGAATTACCAGTACTTAATATTTATTGACATTCCCAGTGCCAGCTCCACGCATATTGCCATTAAAGAGCATCAACATATGTTCAGTGTTAAGTCCCAGGTCTTCAGCTACCCCCAATGTTAAAAGGTTGCAGGATTTGGAGGTTTTACGTATTGAGGTCAAGCTTGAAAAGCCGGTTTTGGAGCTCGGTAGTTTGACCCAAAAAAGACTGACTTGCTGTCTTGTCTGCCTGCCTCATGTGCCTCGCTGCTAGGGGGAGGGAGCCATGTTGCCTCAAGTAGACAGAACAAACATGGAGGAGGGGCTGCAGACTTAAAATAAATATATTTAAGCATATAGAAGATAAGAAATATTTATTCTCATCCACGTCCCCTGAGAGTTGAGGATGCTTGTGTGTTGCTTGATGTCAGCTGTGTTTGTGCGGATAAATAAGTTACAAGAAGGACAGTTCTGTGAATTGGTACTGTCTGTCTCAAGTATATTGTTTGTATAAGTATGAGGTGTACTTTAGCACTGCCAAGCCTTAACAAAATCTCCATATAGGCTTTCTGTTTTTACAAACACAACCTAACCTGTTGTGTTTTATGATTTCATTGCACGGTCAGGATGACAGAGCAATTGTTGTAATGCAGTCGTTCATAGGATGCATTGCAGCAGTTGGATACAAAAACTCAGGTGGCTACTTGTGTTGTACTGTTGTGGCATTGAAAATGTATTTATCACCATCACTGTACTTGAAAGTCTTTTGACATCTGTACGTTGCGGTAACTACTGAATGATAGGACATGAAATAAAATATCTTACAATCTTTCAAATCAAAAGTTCTTGTCAGTATTACACTGTTGTTTGAATAATGTGTTCAAACACATTCAACTGATAATTAAATGACAACACATATCTCAGTACAAACAAGATATTAGCCATGTTGGGTAATGACGTGGAATAAAAACACTAAACAGATTTTATTTATTTAAATGGTTAACGCACAAAAAATGTCTTATCATATGTATTTGTTTCTAATTGTTTGAAATCATGTGTATATATTGTAGAATCTCAGTTACCGCATCATGATCTATTGCTATTATTGCCGTGCTGTATTATAAATTTTACAGCTCAGTATACTTGCTTATAAATGTCAATGTTTGTACAGTTGCATCTTCCTCTGGATGTGCAAACACTCAAGGAAGCACTTTTGTTTGAGCTTAGCAGCGTTTTAATTTGCACTTTGGCAATCGTGCTACTTTCTGATGATTGCTTATACTGTGTGTCTGTTATGTGTAAATATACTGTATGTGTTTGGGTGCGTATGGTTTTCATTGTTATTTGTTCCTCATAATCCTGTTACATCTTTGTTACACCCACTGGCTTTTCTTGCACTCTGGAAATACTGTTACTGTGGTGAATGTCACGATGTTGTAGACAGAAGTGAGAAGTGACGGCGGTTGAGTGTATGTGAGAGTCACATAAGAGATGACCTTTACTGTTTTTTCTTATTTTAATGTCCTCTGTTCTCCCACTGTAATAATATGAGTGACACTTGGTTTGAGAAACTAAAAAGGAAATAAAGTTGTCCATATTTTGAGGGAATGTGTTACTTGAATTATAAGCCTAAACAGTTTTTTATTGGTTTGATGCTATGAGTCAAAGCAAGTTTCTTTCCATGAATGTTTAATGTACCTGCAGTCTGTGCTACAGTGAAAGTGTGAGAGGTTTGTCTGGTATTTTGTCTGGTATCTACTTCTGCACTGTGGCAATTCCATTTCCTTTTCTGCACCGTGGCAAAACCTCAGTTAGCTGTGCAGTAACAATATTCAGTGTAGAGCTAACCAGTACTCAGAAACACCTAAATAAAACCATGAGTTGAAAACCAGAGCTCAGTTCTTCTCTGCGCCTGCTGCTGCTGAACAGAAAAAATATGTATTCATGATTGTGTTGACATTTTTAGGAGTGCTTGCGTGAAGAGGAGTTATGAGTTATGAATTTCCTCTTGGGTCACACCGCTTCAGAAGCCAAACCAGAACACATGTCGAGATGCAAGAGAATATTTACCCTAAAGAAGATTTATTCTGAAAATGTACTCTACAGGTCAATGCTGTTGTTTTAGCTGTTTAGTGTAGTTGTTCTTGCTTTCAAGGGAAATAAAATCCTATGTGGAGACTTAAAAAACACCAGGGCTGCAACTAATAATTACTAATTTTACAGATTATTTTCTCAGTTAAATTATATAGCAGTGTTTTCAAAGTCTGATTCTAACCCCCTGACACTAATGTATACTGATATGAAATATTGATAGTGGAACATGCAAAAAGGTATACATTATTGTTATTGTAACTCCTATTATTATTCTCTCTTACTTATGTTTTAGGGATAATTATGCTCTAATTTTCCCATAATTCTTTGAGAGATGTAAACAGGAAGTATACTGTTGCCATGGATTCAGCTGTGCGCTAACTTACAACTTGTGCTCCTATTTATTGTTTTACATCTTGGTACCAAATTTACACCATTGAAAGTATGCCGAATTAGCAATGTATTAGCAATGGATGTACAGACAACTCAATTTATTACTTTGATACAGAAGAAAACCTAAAAACCTTATAAGGAGCGTCTTTTTTCTGTCATTTATAAGCGGGTTTATGGGCGTTTATTCGCATTGGACTTTGGAAAGATTAAGTTACCTTACTGAAACTAAAAATATATGTATTATGTCTGTGTGTTCAGATTTGACTTATTAATGAATTTGGTTTTAAAGTAAAGCCTAGCTACCCCCATTGCTGACACATTATAAGTGGAAATGCCCATCAGAATCTCCTACAGCATGCTGACCTCTTAATATATATTTTTTGGTCCAACCAACAGTGCACAACCCAAATATATAGTTTACTATCACTAAGAGAAGCAAAATTTTGAAAAATCACATTTGAGAAGCTGGAACCATTGATTTTTGACCATTTTCACTTAAAACTTTACTCAATTAATTGATTATCTTTTTTTGTTATTGCAATATTTCCTCATCTTCCCTCCTCCCTCAAAATCTGCTGAGGCACCCCCTGGCGGCGCCCACTTTGAAAAACTGAACATAACTGATTAATCAACTAATCATTCAGCTCTAAAAACATACCAAACACAGACATGTTACTCAAACTGAAAATGGATTAAAAAGTTTTAATTCCCCCCATAATGGCTGGAGGACCGTTATCCATTTCCCTCTCCACTCTACCGTCTGTACCTCAGCCCCTCAGAGCAAAGAGCCTTGGGTAAAGGGCCCCCGGCAGGCTGGGAATGGGGCCATCTAACTGTGTCAAACCAATCGGCAACAACATCTCCCTGCAAGAGTCTCATAAAGTCTTACTCATTGCAGTGAACTGGGGCATGAAAGCCCATCAACAAGCTGCAGTACTGGGCTCTGACCAGCGAGTGGCGTGCATGGGCCAGAGGGGTGTTCAGCTGCTGTGTGTTTGCCTATGTGTGTGAGTGTGTGTGTGTGTGTGTGAGTGCGTGTCTAGATACTGTCTGGATGAGCAGTCCTGTGAGACGAGGATGGTGTCTGAGGGGTATAGAGGAGTGGTGGTCAGGTGTGGTGGGGGGGAGTGTTGGGAAGAGGGAGCCCGGAGCCACATGAAGGATGGAGGGCATCCAAAAATGTGTCTAAATTATACTCATTTTCCATAAAAGGTAGAAGTGAGGGGGATCAAGAAAACAACAAAAAAGGAAAAAGAAGTTGGCGACATCTCGCAATGCACAGCTTGAAAAAATGCAAGTTAGCACAGTGATCCAGATAATTATGAGGAATGAGCCACAGTTTGAGGCACAGTCTGCCAGGCGGCCTTGCAGAAATGTGTGCGAGGCATTGGAGGAGAGCTGGAACCGACGTTGTCAGACATGTCTAGACAGTTGTTTTAGAGACCAGGCAAACTTGTTTATGAATTTTTTTTCCACCTCCTTTTTCTGTCACTCTCTCTTGTTGACTCTCCCGTGCTTTTTTTTATGTCTTTGTTTTCTCTCAATAAAAAAAAAACTCTCTCCCACTCTCCTCCTCTCACTCTTTCTCTCCCTCGTCTCTGTGACAACAGTGTTTTGTTTACTTCCTCAGTTGGCAGTGTACTTATTGTATGTGCTGCTCTGTAAATATTTTTCTCCTTCCCTCATCCATTCATCCATCTACTCACCCCCTCCCTCTCTCTCTCTCTCTCTCTCTCAGATAAAGGGAGCAAACAGACTCCACCCTCTCTGTCACCCCCCTCTCCCTCCCTCTCTTGCTCTTTCACACACACTCACTCTATCTCCCTCTTTCATGCTCTCTCCCTCCCTCTCTTTCTGTCAGTGTCATTCTTTAGTGGAGATGTGGAGTGTCTTTCTGTCTCTCTGTTTGTTTTTCCAGCCTAATTCAGCTGAGGAAGGTAAGAACTAAACTTTTACTTGAATATATTCCCATTAAATCTGTGATTGCACGTGTGTGTTTATGGGTATAGCGGGATGGAGAGTTATGCACGGCGCTCGCATGATGTGCTCATAACGAGTCCACAAGTGAAGGATGGACACTTGGTATGCTTCTGTAATAGCTCTTTAAGAATGTGGCTCTTTGGGAACGCTGGCCACTTTGACAACGTGTGAAACTGCTGCACTTTGAGAAAGTCTGATTCATTCTCAGTTTTTGGGGTTCCACCTCCAGCTTGGGACCCCCTGAATAATTACCAC